CCTTTATTAAAGGGGGACCAAGGAGCAAAGAGCCATTTGGGAGCACCTGCAGAGGGGAGGGGGGGCAAAGGGGCAGGGGGAGGTGAGGGGGGTGATGGAGGGGGGGTTTAGCACCGTATACCCAAGCGCATCCTAACTGGGGGTTTGGGGGGGCCTTGCTGCCCCCATCCTGTGAAGATGCTGGTGCCCAGCTTGTAGGTCCCTGAGGAGGGGTGCTCAGTAGCCCCAGCCCAAAGCGGGACCCCCCCCACCAGGCCCTGCAGCGGGGTGTCGATGTGCACCCCAGGAGCAGGATGCCACTGTTGCCTGTTGGAGTTGGGGGGGTCAGGGTCTCTGATCCTCCCCCCCCCTGCAGCCTCCTCTCCTGGGAAAGAACACGGCTCTGGGCTCCTGCCCTCTGCGGGGACTCGGCTTTAATCCCCGGGGGGGCCGAGGCAGTCCTCGCCCTGCCCGTGGCCATGGCCACCACGCTAGTCCGTGCCATTGGTGAACTGGCAGAGTTTGTTCTCCAGGTCGGAGATGCGCTTCTCCTGCGCTTGGACCGTCTCCTTCAGGGCACGGATCTCCTCCAGCACCTCCTCCAAGGCTGGCCGCTGTAGGAGGGGGACACATGTGGGGTCACCAAGGAGCCCCCTCTGCCCCCTCATCAACCCCAACCCCATCCCAGGCAGGGGGACAGCCCCACCGTGAAGTCACACTCACGTCGGGTTCGCAGGTGGAGTGGCTGCGCCGGGGGCCTGGTGGGGGCTTGTTGTCCAGGATGTTCTTCTTGACCACCTTCAGCTCCCGGTTCTTGACGGGGACGTAGCCGTCCCGCAGCGAGATGAGGATGGGCTCCGCGTCCTTCCCTGACAGCCACTCGTCCGCCTCCAGGGCCGGCTCGGGGCCCGGCGTGTCGGGGTACAGGTCATCCTGGAAGAGGTCTGACTGCGGGGGTGAGGGAGACGGTGGTGAGATGTGGTGTCCCCCCCTTCCAGACACCCCCATGTCCCCAGGGAACCCCCGTGGGCTCACCTTTCGTGGCACCGTCATGACGATGGGCTCGCACTTGCGTTCATGCAGCTTGAAGAACCTGCGTGGGGCAGAGGTGGTCAGGGTCTGGCTGCCCCCCACGACCCCTTTGCCTCCCTCCAGCCCCCCCGGGGCTCTCACCGGGCAATCTCACACTTGCTGACGTCCAGCCCACGCTTGGGCATGAAGCCCATGCCCCGCTGCGGCTCCTTGCTGCTGTAGGTGTTCAGGTAGTGCACGTAGGGTGCCTCGTCTGTGATCTCGAAGTACCGGATACTGCTGTCACCCTGCAGGTGTGGGGACAGGTGTCAGCTGGCCCTGGTACCCCCCCCAGACCCCCAGGGACAGGGTGGCACAAGGGTAGGTGTGCCCCCGTGTGTGTGTGTGTGTGTGTGTGAGTGTGTTACCTTCCCGCAGAGGTAGACGACGCTGGAGTCGGGGTCGTAGAAGGGCAGCAGGACCCCGTTGCTGGTGTCCATCTCCTGCAGGGCGATGGGCTCCTCAAAGTTTTTCTGGTGGGCCGGAGGGGATGAGGAGAGGGGGGTGGGTGTGTGTGAATGGCAGCCCCAAAACCCCCACCCCGGTTAGTCACACTCATTAGCCACAGCACACTGTGGGGACAGGGCTTGTCCCCCACAACCTCCCGGGCAGGCAGTTTGGCATGCCCCCCCCCCCACC